ATATTCTAAAATGATGAAATGGACATACCTATATTGTGAAAACAATGGATTCGAGATAACGGATTATGTGGGGACCGATCGATTGGATAATGTGGACCAACAATCACGTGGAGAAAATCTTGAGTATTGGAAAAAAAAACGTGACTTGCGTGTGTGTGGTGATTTGGAGTTGAAAAAACAAAGTGAGAATTGTTAAGTTGGTGGTTGGTGGGTTGGTTGGAAATTTATTATATCATAAATGCATTTATTATGAAATGAGGGCAATTTAGTCAATTTACATGATAAAATAAGGGGAGGGGTCAGAAATCTGAGGTGAAAGGTCATGAATAAGTAAAAAACAAAAGGGGGTCAAAAATCAATAGTGGTTATTGAAAGGGGTCAAAAATCCCAATTTCCCCTGCTATTTTCGTCTTTTCTCCTCGATATGATATGATCTATGACGTGTAATTAAAAATAATTCCGTCCTTTCCTTTCCTACTTTTTTATGTAAAAATACTATTTTTCATAAAAAAAAAAATCAATTAGATATATTCTTTTAAAAATGTTCAAAAGTTTTGAACCCACTCTCTAGAGACAGTTATTTGTGACCCTCCTAACTTATTTTGGACCCCTTCCAAATTTTACAATGGTAAAATTACATATGATCTTTTTTTTTTTTAACATAACGGTTGGGAAATTGGAATTTTTTACCCAACTTTTAATTTTATTTTGACTTTTGATCATTTTTTAAAAACACTCTTAGGTGCCGTTTGTTTTTTAGGGATGTAGATGACCGACATCTAAAGATGTCCGGAATTTCAAATGTCCAAAATGTTAGATATCCGACATCTTCAAATAACCACGTTTATTTTGTAGAAATATTTTTAAAGATATTCAGGAATATTTGGATAGCCACGTTTGTTTTGCAGAATTTATTCGACGTGTTAAATTTATAGAATGTTCCAAAAATACTCTCAAAAAATTCATATAATTTAAAATTCGTCTACTATAATAGATTTATTTGAATTAATTTAATATTTGTATTTTTTATATGTTATTTTATAGAACAAATTAATTCATTATTAATTTAATGTAAGTTTCATTTTCTAAGTTAATAGTTTTCTAAAATGACAATTATATAATTTAGGTTATCTTTGATAAAATTTATTTATTCTATCATCACATTATATTTTTTTTAAGAGGAAAAAATCTCACGGATATGTTGGCTGTAAAAAAAAYGTTGTTTTACAATTATATATTTATGATAATAAAATATTATTAATAATATAATTCCTTAGCAATATTAAAGTTAATTTATTAGACGATGAGTATATTAATTTATTTTAATTATAAAATTAAAAATAAAAATTAAGAAAATTTTAAAAAAACTGATGAAAGAAAATAGATGGAGAAAAAAATAGAGGGCAAAAATGTAAAAAAATGGATGCCCTCGGAATCTTGTGGACCCGTGTTTCAAAAGGGCATCCAAAACTGGTAAGATGCCCTAGGATACCCAGGTATCTTGAGATATCCGGGTATCTTACATTACTACAAAACAAACGTGAGAATCCAGATATCCGTTTCACGGGAATCTTGGATTCCCACGAAACAAACGGCACCTTATTTGTAAATCTTCCATTCTAACTCTGTATCTTGTAAAATTATCAAAATATTTACATTTTAAAAAAATAAAGTTTTCTACTATTTTGACTCCTTCTAGCTCTCACCTTAATCCTCACACTCTCTCCCCAATTTTAGTGAAACAATCGCAACCTTTTAATTTGAAGAATTAATTAAAAATTAGAAAAAAAAATTAAAATTTTAACTTAAAGAATTTATTACCAATCTAATATGAAAAAAAAATCTAAAAAAAAAAACAAATTCAAATTACATAAGATATTAAATATTTAATCGTTCAATATGAATAATTTGATTTGCATAATCGTCGTATAAGATTACATAAATGTCGAATTTAGTTTAAAAAAAAATAGGATTTCATGAATCTCGATTCATGATTGTATAGATGTACAATATTTAATTAACAAATAGGTGTAGCCCATATTTATTTATAAAAAGAACGTGGAATTGTATGCTTTCTCATATCGAGATAGCACAATTCTGATCAGGGATAGTACTATCTCTATTCGAGGTTATGCAATCCCAGTCCGAGATTGTGTTATCCCGACTCGGGATAGCATGCAATTTCAATTTTTATTTATTTATATATTTGGGTATTTATTCTTGGTCCTCCTTATTAATTAAATTCAGGACATTTTTACCATTGGTAATTAATTCTTGAAATTAAAATGTTAATTTTTTTTCCATATAAGAGGTTCGTAATTGAAAAAAAAATGAAAAAGATAAAAAAAAAAAAAGAAGGAAGTTAGAAGGAAAAAGATGATGGGAGGATATTCTAGTCTTTACAGAAGTAAAAAAAAAAAAAAAGTGAAAAGAGGTAAAAGAAAAAATATATATATGCTGTGGGTCAATGGGTCAAAGATGAAACTTAGTTATTGAAATTGGTAAAATCCCAATAAGCCCGAGACGCAAAATCCCAATTGAAGCTCACAGCTTCCATTATCTGATTTTGGCTTTCTTTCTCTGTCTTATTTTGGTCTGGCGAGCAATTATGCTTCTGTAGTCAGCGATGGTTCTCACACACGGTCGTCTATGCCACGCCACCAACTTCTTCGATTCATTCCATACTTCCTTCTCTGAGTTCAATGGCTCTCGCGTCTTATTGAAGTACGGTTCGTCGATTGTCTTCAGAAAACGCTCTTTCTGCGCTCCACACGATGCTTTTACGATCGATACATTTTCCAGTCGAAGCACACGAAAACCCATTTCCGGATATAATTTGAGGAGGAATCTATGTCGTGCTAGTTGGATAGATAGGTGGAACGAAACCACGAAACAGAGCCGCCCAAAACCCCCTCGCGCCGTGCTGGATTATCCAAGTAGTGACAACGAAGAAGTTTCAAGTTCAAATTTGTCAAGAAGTTACAGAGGTAGTAATCGAATTGAGGATGATGGACGAGGAGGAAGTACAATGGAGAAGATTGTGAGAAAATTGAAGAAATTTGGATACATCGACGAAGAAAACAAAGAGAAGGGGCCTGAGAGCGCCATTGAAAAGGGGTCGGTGGAGGACATATTTTATGTTGAGGAAGGAATGTTGCCTAATACTCGAGGTGGGTTTTCCAAGGAATTGCCTCTGGGAGTTGAGAATGTGTTTGGAAGTAATGGGGAGGAGGTTAGGTTTCCATGGGAGAAGCCAAAAAAGGAAGATGAAGATGGGGTTTCAGCTAGGATAAGAAGCAGGACATCCTTGGCAGAATTAACTCTTCCTGAATCAGAGTTGAGAAGGCTGAGGAACTTGACATTTCAGAAGAAGCACAAGATGAAGATAGGCGGTGGAGGAGTGACTCAAGCTGTTGTGGATGTCATTCATGAGAAATGGAAAGCGTCAGAGATTGTGAGGCTTAAAATTGAAGGTCCTCCTGCTCTTAACATGAAAAGGATGCACGAGATATTGGAGGTTTGCTCTCTATGAAGATCATTATCTTGTTTATTTCCATGCACTCTTTTTTTGTACTTTTTAAACAATAGCTATTTGATTTCCGAATGAATTCATAATATTATCTTGCTAATAACCGAAAATTAATCGTACAACTAACTCCCAGGGGTGCCTCAGATGGTTTGGACTGAGATGTTTGGAGATACCCTTCAACATCTTGGGTTCAAGCTTCTAAATTGTAAATCTTAAAATCCTTCTTGTGTCCAAGAGCTAGCCTCCGAGTGGGCAAGCCTGTTTGAGGATTAGTGGGGGTGGACCATGAACATAATGGAAGGAGTAGTACCTCCGATATCCTAGTTATAAAACATAATTGTGGGAATGAAGTTGTTATATAAGATATTGACGTATAAACCAATAAGAAGCTGGCATGGTAGTAGCGGATCAAAAAGCCGTAAGGGCCTCCAAGCTTGCAACCTTTCTGCTTAAAATAGGCTGAATATGAGCATATCATGACAGTTTAAGCGTCTTTATTGTAACAGTTGTGATTACAATTTAGATAACTGTTTTTGAGTCATGTCTCTGCGAGGTACAACCAATGAAAAAGAGAGGAAATTGAATATGACTTTCTTTTCTTAACGTGCTTCCATCTACTGTGAAGTGTGGATTAGCCGATCAAAGCATATGTCAAACAGGCCTGATTTAATGTAACATTCACGAGGAGATGCTGAGAATAAAATTTTACAATGTTTTGGTGGCACCTTGATCTAAGCACACTAGCAATGAAGTAGAGTTACCCTTCAAGCTTCTGGTGTTGATGGCCACCAATAATTGCAAATTTTTCTGTAAGCCATTAGTTATGTTTATAATTTACTTTACTGCAAAGTTGACGTGCAAATTTTTGCTGATCTGTCGTGCACATCTTGGTTTTGAGTTCTGTAAGAAATGGTCGTGTTTACAAACTTCGTTTGAGATATAGATTACTTCGCTGCTAAAGATGTGATCATTTATCTTCTCCCATTTGTTCTTTTAACAGAGAAAAACTGGTGGACTGGTTATTTGGAGGTCGGGAACTTCTTTATCTCTATACCGAGGTGTAAGCTATGAGCTTCCTGATGCACCACAACTTAACAAACGGATTTACAAGAGAAATGAGAATACCCCTTTGCCTGAAACTGGTGTAAGTACTATAGTTCCTTCCAAATCTTCTTCTCACAGCAACGTACATGAACCACAACCAAAGAGAGCAGTGAATTCCACAGTTGGTGGACAATGCAGTGAACAATTGACAGAATTGCAAATGAATTATGAGGATGAAGTAGACAAATTACTGGATAGTTTGGGTCCAAGATACACAGACTGGCCGGGATTGGATCCTCTACCAGTTGATGCAGATTTGCTCCCGGGAATTGTTCCCGATTACAAACCTCCATTTAGAATACTACCCTATGGAGTGAGATCTTCTCTTGGAGTTAATGAAGCTACAGCCTTAAGAAGACTTGCCAGGAAACTTCCTCCTCATTTTGCTCTAGGTATGTCCTTTATTGTATATGTTGATAAAATCTTTAGTGATGTCTGCTGAAGGTGTGATATTTTTGTATACAGGTAGAAATAGGCAGCTCCAAGGTTTAGCTGTTGCAATGGCTAAATTGTGGGAGCGAAGTTCAATTGCAAAAGTTGCACTGAAACGAGGTGTGCAGCTGACTACTAGTGAAAGAATGGCCGAAGAGATCAAGGTAGCGTCCTTTTGATGACTAAACGTAATATATCTGCATTACTTTACATCGAGCGAATGAATTGAGTGTTTTAGTGGTTGATGTAGAAATTGACGGGGGGCATTCTTTTGTCAAGAAACAAAGACTTTCTGGTCTTCTATAGAGGAAAGAATTTTTTGTCACCTGAGGTCACTGAAGCTTTGTTAGAAAGGGAGAGATTGGCAAAGTCTCTGCAAGATGAAGAAGAACAAGCAAGGTTGAAAGCATCGGCCTTGGTGGTACCTGGCATTGAGAAAACAGAACAATCTGGAACTGCTGGTTCTCTTGAGGAAACGCTGGATGCCGATGCTAAATGGGGAAAGCCTCTGGATGACCAGCACAAGGAACAAGTAATGAGGGAAGCCGAATGGTTGAGGCACACCAACCTTGTTAGGAAGTTGGAACACAAGCTTGCTTTTGTAAGTTACTTGAAATTTGGGTTTATTCTGTCAATGTTGCTATCTGAGATGTTCTGTAAATTGTTAATTGCCTTTACTCCATCTAGAATTCTACTCTTGTTATGCCAATCAAACATGTCTTTTTACTGACAGTTTAGAATCCGAGACGTGTTTTTTCCATTCACCATGTGATTCTGACATTATAATTACAATGCACGAGCTGACGAGTTAAGACATGGGGTTTCTTAACTCCATTTTGTAGATTCTTTTTTACATGAATCACTTTGTTTTATCCAGGCTGAAAGGAAGTTGGTGAAAGCTGAACATGCCTTATCTAAGGTGGAAGCGTTCTTAACACCAGCAAAGCTGCAGGCTGAACCTGATAGCATAACTGAGGAAGAAAGGTTCATGTTTCGTAAGCTCGGTTTAAAAATGAAAGCTTTCTTGCTTCTAGGTAAAATGACTCCATCATTACCAACCATCGTCAATTTATCCATAATTTGCTATCATTCACCGGAATGTGTTGTTTCAGGTAGGCGTGAAGTTTTTGATGGCACAGTGGAGAACATGCACTTGCACTGGAAATATCGTGAATTGGTCAAGATCATGATAAAAGCTAATTCGTTTGAACATGTCAAAAAAATTGCATTACAACTGGAAGCCGAGAGTGGGGGCGTCTTAGTTTCTATTGACAAAGTCTCCAAATCATATGCTATAATCGTATTCCGAGGAAAGGACTACCAACGACCTTCTTTGCTGAGACCCAAGAATCTTTTGACTAAGAGGAAGGCTCTGGCACGGTCGATTGAGCTCCAAAGGCACGAGGTGTACCGTTCATGTAACTTTTCATTCAGTAGTAGAATGCCCCTGATGCATATGAACTCTTAGATAAAGGACAAAGTAAACATTTACTAATGTATGGTTTTCTCATCAACTTATTATTCAGGCCTTTCTGAAACATATATCAGCACTGCAAAGTAGAGTGGACAAGCTAAGATCTGAAATCGTAAGTCTCTTTCGACTGCAGGGAGGAATATTTTTAAACTCTCTGGTTGTTTAAGTTGAGTCTTTATTTGATATCTTTAATGTAAAAAAGGAACAAATGGAGACGGTGAAAGACCGAGGGGACGAAGTATTATACGAGACACTGGATTCTGCTTATCCTACTGACAATGATTCCGAGGTATATTTAACTCACTATTCAGATATCTTAGTCTGTAAAATCTGCAGATCTAAGTTCACGTTTCTTATTGATCGTTTCCTTTGTTGTAGGAAGAAGATTATGATGCATATACCAAGGCATATGGCCGGGACAGTGATGCAGAAAATGAAGAGGATATCATGGCCAGGGACGATTACCTGGAAGGGGATGATTTTTCACATGGAATCCAAGTGCAAGAATCTGAAGACGAATACTAGATAGCTGAATCACATCGTGTATAAAAATGTCGAACATGTCACGGTCAACGAAGAAGCAGGAAACAAGATAAACAGGGATGGAGGTTGTAAGTGTTTATAAGAGTTGAGAGTAGTTAACTAGGATTATGTTCAGTGTGAGCTGAGGTCGTGTAAATAAAACCACAACCATTATTCCGTCTCATACCGCAGAAATCCCAATTTTTTTTTTTTTTTGAAATAGAACAAGCGTAAGAAAATTAAAGAATGTAATCCAGACACTCTAACTCAAGTTCACTATTCAACTCTCCTGGCCAATCCTCAATCCAGATGCCATGATCTTGAAACCAAAGAACTCTCTGAGCAAGTATGTGCGCTACTCTGTTGCCGTCTCTTTTCATGAAGGCTGTAGGATGCTTGAATGACTGTAACCACTTCCATTTTGACAGTTTGAACAATATTTCCGGTTTCTGACAAATCCTCCACCTCATGAACGAAAAGGTTGAAGATTCTGGCAGAGTCCGTTTCCAGCTGCACTGGATCTCCAACGCCAACCGTAGGCCCTCCGAAGCCGCTAAGGCCTCTGCATCATCGACCGACTGAACATGCTCTAGGTATTTCGTAGCAGAAGCCATCACTTGGCCTCTAAAATTTCTGATACCCCTTCAATCGATGGAAGCCAACGAGTTTCTCTAGGAGGATGGTCCCTTGATAGATGATTAGAATTTGCTGTTCGAAAAGCTGTGATAGATCATTGGTTGTCCTGTCCAAATCCAGATTAAAAGCCTTGTACCCAAAACTAAGAAGGTGAGAGAACTTAGAGTGGAGCCCATGAAATCTAACATGGCTATAGGGAGCCTATCCAAACATAAACCCAAATAAAAACTTTGATTTTGTTGGGAATCTTCACATTCCAGAGTCCTTTACCCACTCTTAACTATATACACCGTCGTCTTAACTATATACACCCCCGTTTCGTAGTGCCATATCAGTTTATCCCTCCCATTTCGGCTCCCCAACGGGATATAACTAAATCATGATTTATCAAACTATGAACGGGATATAGCTAAATCATGATTTATCAAACTATCAAACTATGAACCATTGACTCAATAGGCAATCTTGAAGCTGATAGAAGTGGTAAATCGTCGAATGAATTTAAAATTTCTGTATCTGGACCAGACAATCTCTTCTAATTCCTTTTGCAAAGACATGTTCTCATCAAAATAAAAAATATATATAAAAATAAAATACTTCAAAAGCTTATTCTCTTCGTTCGGCTATTTTAATTTCTATACTTTCTATGTTTATATTTTCTTTTTTCTTTTACATAACCTCACTCAATCATTTTCTTGAAATGTAACAATAAATTTATAATAAAATATTTTCATTGTATAAATAATTTGTGCTAAGATTATACCAATAAATACCAAAATGATTATTTTTCACAATATAACGATCAAAGCAAACAAAGGCTAAAATAAGAAAAAGTTAAGAGGAAAAGAATGAACATTTTAGACCAAAAATGAATCAAAATAAACATTTAAAAATATATAAACTAAAATCAAAACCGAAGGAACAAAAATAGCATTTAAAACCACTCAAATTACTAATGGAGAACTTTCCATTACATAGCAGTCCAAGGAGGCATTATGCACAGTCGCCCTATTGTGTAAGGGTCTTGTGTAAAACCCTTTTGCACATTATTTATCTTAATTTATCTTCATTCTAAGTAAGCAAGTCCAACAAAAAACCAGTTCTTTATATAATGTCTACTTTCTACCTCTAGCAACAAATAACAAATAAGTGAAGATATACCACACTGTTGCTAAGTAGAGATATACCGCACCAATGAAACATCCACCATGTAACAAAGAGGAGCAAATAACACACAAGGCACATCCTGCAAACAGCTTAAGAATTCTTGGTAATAAGACAAGATCTCTCTAGTTTAACAAGTGCAGCATCATACATCAAAATTACGTTTCATTGTTTATAGAAATTAAATTCAGTCAAAAAGTCGCCAAAAATAGACTAATAAAGAAAAAATAAATATCCATGAAGGAAACCAGAGTATACTCCAAGACTGAAATTCTATTCTCTTTTCACTTCAGAGGAATGAACCTTGATGAGTGAGTAGCACCAATACCAGGTCTGCCGTGCTTGACAGGCTTGTACGAGATAGAAAACTCAGCAAGGTAATGGCCAATCATCTCAGGCTTGATTTCAACTTGATTGAAGGTCTTCCCGTTGTAAACTCCGACAATACTTCCAATCATTTCAGGTACTATAATCATGTTGCGCAGGTGAGTTCTAACGGGTTCTGGCTTCTCACCGGGTGGTGCCTCACGTTTCTGATCAGAAAACGGGAGAAAATATGAGATTGATATAATAATCTCCAGACCACTACCCCATGAAACATCGTCAGTGAGCAGTAACGTTCCATAGTAGAACACAAATAACAAATAGATTCATCTGGATGAAAAAGCCGATAGAAAAGATGAAAATAAAAATTAGTCATGATTAGTTGAGGTATTATTGTCTGCATAAGACTCAGATTCTTGGAGCATCCAACAATCATTCAGGAGATTGCATTTCCATGTCACTACATCTTCAAAATTGAAGTAATGAAAAAAATAAGGGAATTGCTCAAACAATGGGAACCTTCCAAGTGAACTTCGAGTATTTAAGAAAGAAACCAATCGAACCAAACCCCACATTTTCATAAAAGTTGACGTGCTAGGGATAATCAGTGTGATATCCATCTAAATTTCTCACAATTCAGATTCACCCTAGATCTCATATTAACTGAAGTTAAAAGTAGTACAAAAAGACACCAAATTTTTTTCCCAACACCACTCAACGAGTATCAACCGATGAAATCATATAACCGGCAGTCTTGAAAATAGCACTCTATGTTAATGTAGCGCGAGAATTAAATTGAACTTGAAAAATAAAGATCTATTTTTCTATCTAGCATACCCGTAACCAAACTATACATGCACACACCAAAGTTGACAAAAATAATCACATAAACGGAAATCAGAATTTATAATTTACAATTTGTACGCCTCCAGCTACAAAATGCGAGAAAAATAATAAGTGAAACAATTACCGCTTTGCGTAGCTTCTTGATCAGAGCCATTGGCTTTCTTGTCAGACCCCTTCGGAACCTAAAACAGAAAATTGAGGAGAGGGGTCAAGATCAAGTAATAAATCATTCAAAAAGATTAACCATATGTCATTTTCACTACCTTCTGCGAGCCCTGGCAGTGAAGAGCTTGACAAGCTCATCCGTGGACATGTCGAGGAGAGCATCCAAGTCGACTCCGCGGAAACTGAACTTCTTGAACGTCCTCTTCTTCGGCACACCCGCCGCCGCCACATCGGGATTGTCGTCCGCCTATGAACACAGAATCTCGGTTAGAAGAAATTGGAAAAACTTCATACCAGAATGCTGGAATGCCTTTGAGCCCTACCATGGTTGGAGTTCAGATATCGGAATACGCCGTGAGTGCAATTAGCGATTCTGGCTGCTAGGGTTTCGAGTGAAGTAAAATTGTCGATCAAGCTTATATAGAAACAATATCGCGAATGTTGGAATCCCTAGACTACGATTATATTTGCATAAATGGGCCTTTTAACTTGTAGAAATCAACTTTCGGCCCAAAAACTGCAAATTGGACTCGGAGATAACCTACGGAAGAAAATGGGCCGAGTAGATCGAAGCCCAGAAGGAAAATTTTAATAAATTAACACAAAATTGAAAAAAAAAAGTATAAAATTATCAGATATTACAAAAATAGCTATTTCCTTGATCAGTCGCCTTTTTTTTTTTTTGAAAAGGTCAGTCACATTTTATTATGTACCTTTTCATATTTATCTCGGTTTTTAGATTTTATGTGGATTAGTTTATTTTAATTAGATTTATCTTGTATTTATTTCATTTAAATTATGAGGTAAAGTTTGCGGATAATTGTTTTTACTTAATACGATTTTGGGTTTAATTAGAAACAAAATTTGTGTACTCACTCCAGTTAAATTCTTTTTTTTTTTTTGTATTTCCGTATTCCATTATTATGGGGTAGGAAGAAGGATGTGAGTGATATAAAGATTTGAGGGAGTATTTTTTTTTAAATTGAGATCAATAACATAATTATGTGCGACTTTAATTAGGTTGTAATTTTTCTCCGATTTGAGAGCTTTTTTTCATAATCTTTTGGGTTTCGATTATTTTTTTATTACTCTTACCGTAGGAGTAGAAATTATTTTTCTCTTACAACTACATTTTTGTTAGTTATTCGAATCTTTTTGAGTTAAGCATGTGTGGATATGATTTGAACTTCAACTTTTTGATTGAATGAAGGCATAGATTAACCATTTCGCTGGTAACTATAAAAATACCAACATAGTAAATCCAGAACTTAAGGTTTGATATCATATATTCATTTGGAATGGCCAGCAATGCCTCTCTCACATGGTTCGAACATTCTTACGAACGAATCTACACTTCTAATGAATCAATACGCAAATGTGGAAAAAGGAGAGGCAAAAAAAGAAAAAAAAAATTGTATCGTTCGTCAGATTTTTCAAAACTGCAAACGCTCCTTCTTTCAAGAAAGTGAAGATTTATCATCATTAATTTTACACTTCACCTCAATCGCCATGAAATTTACAAGTTCTTGTCACTGTACAGTTTCATCTAAGATTGATCTTGAACTTTCTAGCTTCTGAATCGCAGATCTGAGCTCTTTCTGAGAATGGATCCTCGAAGGGGACACACCAATTTCTTTCCAAACGGACTCGGGTTCCACAAACGGACTCGGGTTCGGGTAAAGCTCGTAAACAGACTCCGCGGCGGCGTTCAAATTGCTCAGCGTTGACAAGTACGCATGTGCTTCCGGGTCAACCATTTGAGACGGGTCATCGTCGCCGTCTTTTCTAATGAGCAACTGCGAAATTGGAAACACGTTTAAATATTGAAATATTTAATAGTTTAATATAACTGCAATTTCACATTTTCTTGCAAATACATTCAAAGTGGGAATTAGTATTCTCCAAATATTAGTCCATACTTCTAGAACTACATTCATTACATCTCTAAAATTAATTCGGTAATACATTTTTATTTAATCCATGTCATTAACCAAGACTACAGGTAATCTTGTACTAAAAAAAACATAGTCGTTGTACTAAAAATATATAGTTGAATCGATGTTGGTCAAAGGAGATCTTCTGCAGATACGTATAATTCAGAAGAATATGTGAGTGATTCATATACAGCATCTCTTTCTTTTATCAATGGTTCTACCAATTTATATGTTTCCACAAATAATTGAAATTCAATTTCTTGATCTGTATGGGAAATGAAGAAATCTAATATGAAAAGAGAATCGGATTCTATTTGTACTGTATCTGAGATGAATCTTGGCCATTCCCAACAAAAGTCCACAGACCACCTAATTGACACCAACGAGTAAAATCTATCTAGTCTCATAGGAGACGAGCATAGCTACTCGGGGTCACATCACGGCAACTCAATTAAAATTGATTCTATAGGTTTGTCGTGTGGATATAGTTAGTAAAAGCATAGGAATAATTTTATAAATCAAGACATACCTTAGGTGGGTTGCCAATGGAATTTGTGGAGTAGAGCCTGACACTATCAACAACTTCAGAGTATTTTGGAAAAGCATTGGCAAATCTCTTGTGGGATTGCAACTGGGAATTCACCCTCACAGCCCTTCCCATCATTATGGCTCTCCTGTTCAAATCCATTACAGCTTTTATTAGAACCAAAACTGGCCTTAAAATGTCATTACTGTAAGCTCAAGCTTCAAAAGTTGACTTGTATCTTTACCTGATTCCTCTAACAACAGCTAGATGAGCATCACAAACAACTCCAACCAACTCTATTCTATATGGCATTCTATTGTTCATTTCTCCATCCTCCTGCAATTCCTCCTCCTCTTCTTCACTTACAGGTTCCCAGTAATTCTCTGTTATATTTCCATTCTCTACCTTGTACCCAACTCCCATTCGATATCGACGCTTGTGAACGTTTCGAGCCATTTCGATTGTTTGCATGACGTAGGGATCCCAGGACAGGGTGCTGTCCAAGATCACATCCCGTCCCTCGTTTAACGCTGTGACCAGCAAGGAAGATGCAGCGTCGATTGATGACTGGTGTACCTGTTGCGGTTCATCGTGTAGTTAGTTAGCTTATTCGTGTTCAAAAGATTGGGCATGTAAATTGGGGAAAATAAGTGTGTGGTTGTGCTGGAGAGGAGAGAAACTCACCAATTCGGCAGTCTGAAGCATGTCGTCGTGGTAACCCATCGAGCTGATGGCTTTGTAGATAACATCAGTCTCTTTGAAGGCATCTGCCTCTACAAATACTGGGTTTGTTGCTGCTTCCAACCAAAAAGGCCTGCATAATCAGTGACTGTTTATCAACAAACTTTGATCTAAAAGAGGTTTCGTTTTTGCAAAATGAACGAGATTTGAGATTGATTTACGCACTCTTTCGAGATGTCTTTGAGGACAGTGCTCTTGCCAGCCCCCATGCCACCACCCATAAGAAGAAGCACAGGGCTCCTCTCTCTTTGAACTGGCGGTATCGTGTGGGAGCATCTCGACTCGCCCTTGGACGGAGCACAGCCAATCTTCTTCATCTCCTCCACCAAAGTAGAGAAGACCCGAGTCACTTTCAGATCCTTACTCACCCTATCGAATCTCTGCTTCCTATCAGTTAGCCAGAAACCAAAAAGGGAAACAAGAAACTCAGAATCTTCATTTATATTACAGCCATACAGTGGATGTGTATCTCAATTCTAGAAGATGCATCATGGTTCAACAAAAAGGGGTGCTGGTGCATTCAAAGTTCAAACTCAGAAACCAATTATGACTTCTCAGGCAAATTGACAAAAGATGGAAAATGGAAATCACCTAGTCGCTGCCACCACGAGGTCTTTGAGCCTTTTGTGCTCGGAGTCAACACCCAAAACCTATCATTAAATTCACCGTTAATCAAGGGATATGATGGGATTCTAAAATCATGTTGACTTTTTTTTTTTCCTCTTTCCTTTGGGGTTTATGAATTTTACCTGAGTAATCATCAAGGAAGCTTGGCTCCAATGGAATGCGAAATAACTCAAGATGCATTGATCAAACTCCTCCATTAACTTCACATACAGAGATTCTGCCTCGACTTCACTCGCAAAATAGGCATAAATTTCTTCCTCGCACCCCTTCGTCTTCCTCAAATAGTTGTTTGCTAACTTACATAGTTGAGGACACTCATCCGCGTCAGAAATCCCCAATTGCCTCGCTGCAAAAAGTCCAAACAAAAAAAAGAAAACCCCAAATATAAGGGTTAGATTTTCCATTCTACACATAGAGAGTACTTTAATTTATAGATAGTAATGGCGGATGATTTTACCAACATAATGGGAAAATCTCTCCAAGAAATCAACGCGGCCGGACTCCGTTCTGTGTAGATGCGGAACCAACTTCTGATAGCTGGTTACACCATTCGAAGTCCGCCGGTAGTGGCGTTTTCCGGCGGCGGCAAAAGAATGGGTAAGAAAGTGCGACGATGGAATGACTTTCCCGTAACCGCCATCTAATCAATCACAGAGCAAGAGAGTTATAGTTACTACTCCTCAACATTTGGTGAACTTCAAAGATCAAATCAAAGGATTGTTTGTAAAAATTAGCTTTACCTTGGTGCTTCATGATAAAAAAATCAAAAAAGCAGAGAGATCGGAGGAAGAAGATGAGGATCTTTGATTCTTTGTTCATCGGCTGTGATGGTGGTTGGAAATGGGAGCTCCATAAATATATTGAGCTCCACGGATTTGAAAAGTACGTGGGTCAGACTCGCACTTTCTATGTGATTTGAAAGAGTCTGAGAAATCAACAGAGAATTTGGAAAGCCATTTGTAGTGTATTCTATCAGCAATGCCACTACTAGCTGGCCTTTATTTAGATCATAAAAAACAATAACAATATTATTAAATTTTAATTTTTAAAGTCATCCAAACTTTTTAAATTGTAATTCTTTTTGAACTCACAACTATCGATTACACTAAGTTATGGTCACTCCTTACTTTTTGTTCAGAGATAAATGTTTTAACCATTTGAATTATGCTCGGTTTAACAGTAAACATCACCACTTGAATTATGTTTTAGGTGATAATTTATCCAAGCATATTCACTTGTGACTTTTTTTATCGAAATTATATTGTGCAAGAGAATGTTTACCCCAGCGTTCTTGAAAAAGTGGTTTGTCTCCCAGTTTTATTTATTTATTTTATGAATATCCCATAACCAAATTTGTGCTTTTCTTTTCTATCCATGAAAAGTGATAAATTGTTACCCCACTTTTCCACTAAATTCTTTATATTAAAGTTTATAACAGGCAACCACGCACATCACATGCTTTATTTTATTGTCCTATTATTTTTTTAATGAAAATAAATGAAGGTAGGGATGTACAAATTGAGTAAACATTTTAAATTAGTTGAATTTTCACAATTAAATATTTTGTGTGGTTTTTATTTAATAATAAATAAAATAAAGAAATGAGATCTAAATCCAAAATAAGTATTCCTAATAAGCCAAATGATTAATGGACGGTGTAATACGTAAAGGATTAGTAAAGTTTTATCCTAAAAAATATATATTACATAAAGTAATGAAGTAATGTCCAGGTGGATCACGTGCAGTAACAAGCAAACGCGAAAAGAAAANAGAAAAAAAAAAAATTGGTATAATAGAAATTATGTTTTGATATTTAGAACTCTTAGGATATGTATTTTATTTTCTAAAACTTTTAAAAATATTTATTTTGCCCCTCAACTTTTAAATATATTAATTTTTAAAGAGTATTTATTTCTTATAGTGGATCCTTCCGGTACTTTAATCAATCCATACAATTCTAATACATACCCATGTAAGAAAATTTGATAAAGGTCAAAATAGTAATATTAAAAAAATAGAAACTAAAATAAATTTTTGAAAATTTAAAAAATAAAAATAAAAGGAAGTTGAAACTCTATAGATTAAAATAAACGTTATAGAAATTTTAAAATTAAAATAGGATGATAGTAAATATCTGAGACCAAAGTGAGGTTTGGATCCCAACAAAATTATTTTTTTATAAATATAAAAGCATAAATGTTTATAAAACAAATTTAATTATAGATTATTGGAGATCATGATAAAGGTTCAGTAGTATCAATTTTTCTTCTTGTTTTTTTGAGTTGAGTCGCAGTAACATTTATGTTCTTATTTATTGTTTTATTTCTAATTTTTAGAAACATAAACTTTTGATAATTGTTTTTATTTTGTTCTTGAAATTATATACTTAAATTATTTGTTCTGGTTTCTAATTCCGTTAAAAAATTAAATTAAATTATTATTGACTTATAAATAGGCAGTAAATATAAAAAATTCATAAAAAGTTAAACGGTTTAATTAAAAAATTAATCTCATATTATTTTTTTAGTTTTAAAAGTTTAGAAAACGTTAAAAAAAATGGAAACCAAAAGCACTTATTATTCTTTTTTCATTAAAAAATGATCAAGAAACATTACACAGTTTGTAATTGTATTGAATCTAAAAATAAGCAACATGAAGTTACACACGCTAAATAAAAATAATAAAATTAAACTTTTGGGATTGTCAAATCAAAAGTTTGGATGCTTCCATGGCTAAGTTCATCTCATTCTTTATTATTTCCAACCAAAAAATTGTAAGTTCGAATCTCCATTTTGGTAGCATTAATGGGTAAAATTAAAAAATAAAGAAACTTTAAGAGAATAAATATTTGAACAAAACAAAATTAAAATTTAGAAACATGTTAGATACAATAAAAGTTCAACCACTAAACTTATAATTAAACTTGAAATTAATTGACATATATTAATACACATTAAAAAAAACTTTAAATAGAGTGAGAATGAAAAGACTGGGATATATATAATTCACATATTAAAAAAAAAAGACTATAAATAGAGTGGAATGAAAAGACTGGGAAATGTTAGAAAGCAAGGAAAAAAAACCCGGTTTGACTGGTAAAAGGCAAAGTCAAAGTCAATAAAGACCGGAATAATGAAACTTCCTTGTAATTACTGCGCCGAAATAACAAATAATTTCTCCAGACAAAACACGACCCTATTTTTTTTTTTTAAAGGGAAAAAAAATGTCAACGATCTTTCGGTTAATTTTCCAGCTCATGATCAGTTTTTGGTCTCAACTTTATTTTCGTCTATACGTGCAAAAATTAATTATTATTTCGTATTAAATTTGTATTTTATCTTCAGATGGAAACAATAATATTGATAAATGTCTGTCCCCCAAGCAAGTTCCAATCTTAATATATTGTTTATTTGTTTATTTTTGGTTTTTGGTTTATTATATGCTCATTTTCGTGGTTTAAATATTGTATTATCTTAGCTTGTTAAGTTCACTTGATTTGAAGATCTTGGAAAATAATTTAATACGCAAGCCAGCTTCAATGAGAAAATTGAAAAAAAAAAACTTATGAACGTTTCTTATTGTAATCAATGATAATGTCTCCCAAAGGTCTAGGAGATATCGATTTAATATAATTTTTGAATTTCTTTTAGACATGGAGTGATTATCTTTATATATTATATACGAATTTGAGTTAGATTTGGATTATATTTGTTGATGCAAAATCCTGTCGAGTTGTCGAGGTCGACCACATGGCAATTGATCGAGCTGACGAGGTGCAAGCTCATGCAAGGTAGGACCTGCAAAAAGAAAGTAAAAATTCCGACGCTCGATTAGTCAGTATAGGTGCGAGCTCAAATAGGTCATTCTCGGAATAAAATTGCATACCTGAGTAAGATGAATGGAGATCCTTTTATAAGCGGAGTGAAAGGACACGTCCATTATGGCCGTTACGACAAGGCGGTTAGATGTCGGGCCATAGGTCTCGACAATGATTGAGGTCGGCTATGGATGAGCTTAGTAGCTCAAGCTCGACCATAGGTGAGTTTATGAGCTCGACCATAGGTGAGCTTAGGAGCTCGGCCGTAGGTGAGCTTAAGAGCTCGATGATAGCTTGACCATATCTTGCCACGTAGTATGTCATATTTTTGTCTCTAACAATATTTCTCGTTGCTTGTTTTTCTTAAAGAAAAAAAAATCACTATTAATTATTAATATGTAGTTAGAAATTTATCTTGAAGTTTAAACTTTGCAAATATTGCCCAAACTTTTTGAAAACCATTTCTAGAAGAGTAAGATTTTCTAGAATTAGACTGTGTCAAATATCGAGAAAAGAAAGAAACAAGATAACAAAATCAAATAATTAAGCCCGTGTATATTAGTCTTTTTATATTGGAAGTTTCAATGTGGAAAGAAGAATGGTAAGTAAGATCACATAATATATTAATTATCAATATCGAATTCATTCAATGTTAACTATTATCTTAATGAAAATTTTATTTTACCATTAATTAAATAGTCCGCAAAATTTTAAAGTCATTTTCGAAATTTAAACTAAGTAGACTTTATTGATTATTGTTCTCACACATCGGTCATTATACATACATAAAATAACAATGGATTACTTCTTGAGGATTTTATATTAAATTATAACGTAGTTACTTCATAGATAAGTTATGAATATATTTAACTTAAATTTTGATGTTGGAGTTCCTAACATTAGATGATCGGAGATAAGTTAAAAGATTACATAATGTTAAACCATTCAACCTAAAATATTTGTTAGGGTGGAATTTAGACAATTATATTACTTGATTTTGGTTTTTTTTCCTTTTTTTCCTTTTTTCAACAAATCTCAATTTTTTTTAGTTCATTCGCTTTTTGCCCCTAAAATATTCTTTTAGTGTGTGGTATTTTACCTTTACATTATTCATCCATTTAATTTTTTTTTTATTGATTCAATAAAACATTGAAATAGTGATTAATAAGATTTTTTTTTCCTAAAATATTGACTACACTAGATGTCAGAATGATGGCTTGGACCTTCGATATTGTTGAACTATGCTCATGTTTACTTGTACGTACAAATCTTAATTTTAAATACTTTTTGTTTGTATAGAATGGAATACACTTGAATTAATCTAACTATTACTACTTACACACCACCGCCAACTAATAGAGACAACCACCACTAATAGAAAGTGGATACGACTAAATCGTCGTCTCAAGCCCCACCGCTAATTGAGACACACCAAACTCTCGAGAGTGCTTTTTCTTTCGTTGTTCAAATTTTTTTGATAGACCTATTGATTAAGTATATATCTTRATTAATTGAGTTATGACACATAATTGATGGATATGTGCTTTTTATTAATTTTTTTTCTTATACCATCTTTAATCTCTCACAACATATGTTTCTTTGTTACTTATTCTCTACACATATTTTTTCACTAACATCTCTCTACACATTTGTAGTTAAGAAAACAATTAACAGAAAAAATGAAGCAACTCAGGAAGGAACACGATAAGTTATCAACCTTTAAATTAATAGAGGGGTGAGAGAACTAAATTTAGAAAATAAAACTAATGGAATATTTTGTATACATTATTTACCCAAATATTAATCATATCAACTTTACTTTGAGAAGATGAGGTTGTTTGTTGGCCACTGACTTACACTTCGTAACATTTGTTTCTTATCGGTATGACTTATTTATTCTTACTCGTTTCTTTCCACACCGAGTAATTTTCTTTCATGGATTTCTTTTCCCATGAATTTTCTCTTCCTAATCCTCCCTACACATGCAATTCATATCATTAATCTCTATCTAGGCACATTTAATTTTTTTTATAATTTTTATTTCATGATTTTAATGGTTCGTTGAAATTAGAAATGTTTAAGTAAATATTAATCTTCAAAAGAAAAAAAAAAACTCTTCTAATGAAATTTAGGAACACTTTCGAAATATTAAACGAAATACAAGGAATATTTTATTTCTCAACCTTTTTTTTTCAACTTAAAGAGTTGTAACTTTTTTATGAACGCACTCCAAAAACCTTTTCAAATTCAAACACACCTACACTAATTTGAGAAATTGTTTGAAATCGGCCTTTCAAAATAATAATAATAAATAAAAGAATAATAGTGGAATCTGAGTCAATAAAAAAAAAATTAAAAATCACAACAACAATATTAGGAACTTTCCTTATAAATTACTTCCGTCCAAATAAAGTTAGGTCATTTCCCAATTTCCAAACAAACGCGGCCCATTAAAACAGCCAACCAGCTTCTTTAATATTCGGAATTTTATTTTTATTTTTGAGGTTTTTTTTTAACTTTCTTCTTGTATGAATACGTGCAAAAATTCATTATTATTTGGCATTGAAAATCACGATATTGGAAATTTTTTAATCAATGTTTCAATTTGTGAAGTTCCTTATTTTAGTTTTTACCCGTATGTATGTATATATATAGGTTTAAGTACTAKTTTTGTTTTTGTAATTCTGTCTTCGTTCAGATTGTCAATAATTGTCATCTTGTTCTACTTTTAAAAAGTGATTAATTTGTCTTTATTTACAAAATTTTAACACAAATTTTATGCCTAATGAAAATTTTTTAATTCAAATTTATGCCTAAATTTAAAAAAATCTAGAGAGTGAAAGTGTCATGCCTAAATTATGATCGATCGAAAGATATGTGATAAAAAATTAAAATTAAAATGAATGAATCAAAATAATCACTTATTAAAAGACAACGACCAAAATAAACTACACTTTTAACATGTCCTAAAGTGCTTATGGAAGATTAAAAATATTATGTATCTTTTTACAGTGTTTGGTTAAAACGTTAAAAAGTGATTTTAACCCATTAAAAGTACTTTTAAACATTTTTCAATAATCAAAAGTGGTTTGAGAATTTCCAAAAATCGTTAAAGTGCTTTTGGATGAAATGCTTAATTTTCTTCAAAAATATGCTTAAAAATGTACTTCACTTGGGACGTTTTTTCTTTTTCTAAATGGCATCCTAAACTTCTACTTAGGGTGAATTTAAAATAATTTTTAGATACCCATCTCCAATGTTTTGTAAAAAATAATTTTAAAGCAATCTAATTTTTAAAAAGAATATTCTTAATTTATTAGCAAACACTAAACCAAAAAAAAAAAAAGGCTTTTTTAGTCATCTAAAATCACTCCTAAAACCGTACTAAAAATATTATATATGATACTATGAATAATTCTTTCAAAAGTGAAAAAAAATGGGATGGAAGACTCGGCTGAAAGTGCTTATTCTTTTTCATATTTTGTTCAATTAGCTGACGCCATCACAGTGATCTAAGGACTAAGCCACATTATTTATTACTTTCTTTTTTCTTCCATTTTATTTAAAAAGAAAATGGTGCCAATGAAAAAGGTGGAGTGGATGTCATGTTTAAGATTTGTAGAAAATGATTTATAGTTTTTAAAACATATTAATTTTCCAATAATACTTTCTATATTTTTCAGTCCTAGCTAAAACTTTATACAGCTTAATTATTATTATTTTTTTCCAAAAAACAATAAACCAAAAACAAAATTACTGAGGCGGCTACGCTCCAATAATTTAAATGTGATAGAATACCAATAGATTATGACTTTAAGAGAAAAAGTAGAGAGAAATTTTAAAGCTAAAAAGTTGATGATTCATTATCCACTCTTGACTTTATGGCTAATAACATCTTTTCTTGCCCAATATCATATGATAAAAACAAAAGAAACAAGGGAAAAAATGATTATATAAAGATGTAATATAAGATTGCTTTCATAAGATCCAACAATAATACACCATATAGGAATAAAATGTGAAGGTATTGTTAAACTTAAACATTTTGGTATTTGTTTGTATCATTGGAAAGCCCATCTAAGGCTAAATAATTCTATGTGCACACCCATCAACAGGAAGCATAGCAAGTTTCTTAAACAACAAATTTGATGACACTGTTCAAATTGAAATTTGAAGCTGTGGGTATGGGCTGTATGGTAATTCTATGTACAGTTTTTGAGAGATGAACTGATATTTGTCCAGACCAAACTGCTAGAAACCCAACTCTTTTTTCTTTTTCACTTTGGCTCTCAAATCTGCTGCTGGAGGAAGCACTTTGCTGCCATCTTTTGAGGCCACGCACCACCATGCCTTCAGCTCATCCTGCAAGGAGTCGTGGGAAGTGGGGTTTAATAATAAGCTGGAGAAATCATCTCATTATTTTCTCAATATTTAGACCAAATCTCCATTCAGAACCAAATGGGGTAGTATTCTCATTTTAACATCTTGTTCGCGTTTTAGTCGCTTGATGTGAAACCGAGTGAGAAGAAATCAGAGAAAGATAGCAGCAAAACGATTGTATAAGCAGATTATTTACCTTTGAGATTGTATTGAATTCAAAAAGTATGACGATCATAATGATACTTGAATATAAATTCAAATGACAGAGAAACAACTTGTGGCTAGATGATACTAGAAGCAAATGGATGTAAACGTCTAAAATTTATCAAAGCAACAATGTCCAACAATTGTGATTTTCGGTCGGGGGTCATGCCGAACCACGAGTATTGGAAACATTAAAGACTAACATAACACAGGAACAATATGGCATGAACAGCAAATGTTTCCCCCACAGTTTTTTTTGCAAACAGTCAACTAAATAGAGGACACAGCAAAAGGATGCTTGAAAAACAAAACAAAATGCTTGATTAAGGTCATACTGACATGTACCTAAAACACTTTGAACAATGGGGGAGTGGGGGTAGCTAAAATAAAAAAAGATCGAACGTCTATACCTCAAGAAAATCATGGTTCGAAATGTACTGGGTTTTAACTTGGCATTCAACCCCTTGAACTAGGACGGAAATAGCGTTTTTTGCGAGTTGTGCACCTGGGAATACATGGAAATGAAAATGTCAGAAGAAATTAGAAGAGAATAATGGTGGGTTAGAAGATAAAGGGTCAAAAAGATTAATCTAAACGGTGAACCAATATGACAGTAAAAGTTAGGCATGGAATCAGAGAACTTTTCATGATAGTATTAATAGGCATTTTACCCCTTATGCAAGCCACATGGTACCCAGTTCCCCCAAGTCCTTCTTCCCACTTCCCAAGCCGAATACGCAAGAAAAAACCATCAAGGTGTGACAGTGACATGTGGGAATTCATAAACCTGGTGCCGATGCCAATAGAGAAAATATCAGTTTTGGAAAAATACACTTCGATAAGGAAAATATCAGYTTTGGAAAAATACACTTCGATAAGGAAGAGGCGTTTCCATGTCTGATCATTGTGAGAAATGAAATTACATAAACTCAGAACATCCTTCAGGAAGTGATATCCATGCAGGGGAGTGAAGTTGTGATGCATCAAACCCAATAAGAACGTTAAATGGCAAAAGAAAGAATGTGTAAACAAATACCTTGCTCCAGCATCTAAAGGACACCAGAATGCAAAGATAATCAAATCTATGACAAACTTAATCACCTATCATTTTATAGTCCATTGTAACTTGATTCAATACTTGAATCATGAATGTATCAAACCGTTGGACTCAGTATCTCATTTTCACTTTGTGAAGTATTAAAGAAGACTTATAATTGCATGAAAAAAGAGTAGCAAGTGAGATTAGCAATGATAGAAATATATTCCTGCTTACTTTAGAATATTGCTGCGAGACAATCGAAGTTTTTTAACTGCGCTGGAGACCACTTGTGGTAGATCGGAATCCTGCTTGTCCATGAAGCTGTCAACATGGACCACCTCACTCTCTTTCAAAATTTTCTCTGAAAATCTTGGAATTGGTATTGCTGCAGACTTCACTTCTTCAGTGACTTTGCATTCAAGTTTAAGATCAGTTTTAATATTAGGATCATCAATATCATCTAGCACAGATACAACCCCATCCATTTTTCTGTTCTCAATAAGTTGAGGTTTTGCACTTAAACCAATCCTACCAGTGTCGTTGCGATCAGGCAAGGAAGCATGGGCCTCAGATTGCTGTTGACCTCTTGAGGCTGCGAGTGGACATGCAATAGCCCAGTGATTGGGCTGAAAGCATCTTAAGCATACACAAGGGAAGTCATCTGTCTCCTTACATAACCTGATATTTCTAGAAAGATCCTCAATTTCTCTTTCTGTAATTTCAGAACAACTTTGTAGATGATGACCTCTTGTGCCGCAAAAGAAACAGGTCACGATTTCATGACCCACATTTACTGTCAAATCTGGTGGTATGATGTGTTTGAATGCACCTAATCTCCTAGCAAAAACGGAAGCAATTGCCTCCGAACTTCTTAAATTAGGAGAACGTAAAACAGAGTTGAACTTACTAATGGATTTCTGCTCATTACGGCTCTTGAATTCCTTATGACCAGGGGAAGCCTTGGTAATAGCTGTATTGCATTTTTCCTTACTAACAGCCGTGTCCAAGTCATCCACGGAGTGATCATCAATGTGATTTTGAGTGGAGTGATCATCAATGTGATTTTGAGGGCAAGGAATAAGTTTAGCGCTATGCATGGAGCCCTGGGAATCATCCTTGGTATTTTGGTTGCAAGTTTCAGGGTTTAGCATAATTCCAGGAGTTTTTGCAGCAAAACGGGAAATCCACAAGTTTTTGAGAGGGTCGCTCGTATTGGCATAAATATAGGCAGTCTTTGCAGATGGTAGATCACAGCCAAAATTCTCTGTACTGTTAGAATTGCTCTTGCCCAGAGCAGAGTTGTGCATAACTTCACCTGTTTTAGCACCAATTTCAAGATTGCACGAATTTCTGTTCTCTTGAGACCTGGTGTTGTGACTCTGATGACTGCTACAAGAAATTTCAGGTGAATTCCTAAGTTGTATTGGTGAAATCGCTGCATTTCCAGATTTAGAGTCTGTGGCGTTCTCGTTATTCAGAAGCAGCTGTTTGCCAAAGTTCTCAGACCCTCCAAAACAGGCTATTGGAGTAGCATTAACATCACAACTCATTTCAATCACTTCAATCTCCTTAGCTTGTTGTTTGGCTTGACAATTTTCACTAGGTGCTCCTTCCTCACCTCTCGTGATTGGATTATACAACAACCGGAAAATAGATTGGAAACCGATGCTGCAGAACCCAGGATCATTACTCTTCTTGAACATTGTTTCTTCATTCAGGCCACCATGTTCGACATCAGGCTTTGCAAGGGCAAGATCAAGAGAAGGAGCCTCATCTTGGACCGGCTCTGAGAGCCCTTTCATCATGTTTGAAATCCAATTCATAAAAGAGCTATCTTGACCGAAGTTCGAACCAGGAGTTTTATCATCTTGCCTTTTAACTCTTTTGTTCCCAGCAATTAACTGTTGCTCAAAGCTCCATCGCCTCTTAGCCGTCGAAAGAAAAGCACTACTACAGCTTTCAACACTTCCATAGCTGTTGTCTTCATTCTTCGACATTCTTCCATGGACATCACCATCAGACAGAGCCTTTTCCTTGCCCTTCCTTTGTTTCCACTGCACTATACAGTTAGCTGGATAAGCTGAATCTCCACTGCCTTTGCAATTGTCTTTTTCATCTGGCTGGTTACTGCCTCTCACTTCTTGGGAAGAATCTGTTATTATAATTTTACTTCCCTCGCACCCAGCAGTTTTATCATTCATATTTTGCAAATCATTTTCTGCAGATGATTCCAATTTTCCCAAAATAGTTGGATGAGAGACAGAAGGCTCAAGAACTTCCACGGGATGAAGAACATCCTTTCCTGCTGTAATATTTCTACTATCTTCATTGATGTCTCCACCAATTGAATCCATAAATAACAATTCATGTTGCACTCTATCAAGCTCAGGTTCGTTTTGTTCCATTGATACCTCATTTATTCTGTTCACGTCAACTGCAAGGAAGATGAAGTCAATAAAATTTCAACCATGAATATTGAAACAGAGGAGACAAACTTTATCCTTTCAGCAGAACGTTTTCAAATGCAAATAATTCTTATTAAGAGAAACAGAATTCTCCTCGAGAGCGGGAAAATGAAATATTCTTTTGAAGCATTTCATGATGTTATTAATTGGGCTTTAAATCATTGAACAATTCCATTGTATTTTATTATCAAGTATTTGAAAAAACTTTTAATTCTACTAAATTTGTATTTCCAGTCCATAAAGAAAATATATTGGTGTCAGCGCACCTGGTAAGCTTGAGCAGTTGTTTTTCCCAATAATCGATCCTTTGATCACCGGATTGTTTCCGGCGTAACCTATATCCATTCCTCCAGTTGCTTGTAAATCCTCCTGTTTAAAACGTACAACAGAGACTTCTTCCCTGCTATCTGTTTTGTTTGCATAGCTCCTCATTCCTATAAGGTAAGTGCATCAGAACTGGGAAAATTTTTAAGGAATAGAAAGAAATATCTAGCATATTGAACAAAATATAGTAAGAGATGCAGTAAAAATATGATCAATCAGTACTCCCAAAATGTACACATAATGTACATTAAAACAATCATATACACAGATATACCTTTCTCCAGTGTATGCATTTTTACTTCATTTGTCATGCAGGCAGGATCACCAGGACTGGTCCTATTTGAAGTTTGTTTACCCTCAGATATATCCTTCAAATGACTCTCTGCTTGTGGCAAAATAACAGTTCTGTTATCAAGTAAATTATTAGCAGAAGACTTTTCAGCTATTACACTTCGTGGCAGTGCAAATCTTGCGTTATTGGCAGCCRCATCCCACAAGATCGAGCTTTCCCTATTATTGAAGCTGGAATCAGTGCATCTGAGACTTAAACCTTTCTGTGGAGACCAAACTAATTCAGACAGGGAGTCGGTGGTAACATGTTTCATATCCACCATTGAACCTGCATTTGCACCTACACCTGATTTGTTGGTCAATCTTCCCTGAATGAATTGGTCTGTGTAACCCAAGCCAAGCCCTATTTCCTTCCCGGGTTCAAGGCTTTTATAGTCCTCATTCATCTTCAGTGCAATACCTCAATTTTCAGTACTGTAATGCTATCCAGCTCATGTTAGTTGTGTTTTATTGTGCCTTATTTCTTTTTTAGAAGAAAAAGAGAAAAAAGAACTCCTACCTTCAGTTTATTGCATATGGGGGCCAAATCATGCAATATTAGGGGTTGATACAATTGCTAGCACGTAAATGGATGGCTACGCAACCAGAAAGGAATATGATAGAACAGAAAGGAGAAAGTTAAGCAACCATTATTTCAACTCATGTAAAGATCATTCTAATTTGTTCCAAACTAAACTGACTCAACAGGGCACCTCCTAAGATAAGAAATCATTCAAATAGTCTTTAGAGAGAGATCAGCATTTGTATGCACGTTATGAAGAAACAAGACTATCCAAGTGGTGAATAACCAAAAGATACTGGTAAAACTCGTGTCCACTAACTTTAGCCAGTGTATAAAAGCTATTTTGAGTTTGAGATAAAGTTTGTCGTGGGTTTGAACG